ACCTGGAACTAGCTCTGTAGACCAGGCTGGCCTCAAACTCAGAGAGATTCACCTTCCTGTGTCTCCTGAGTGCTGCATGTATCACCACTGCCTGGCTCAGTTTATTTCTAATTTCATAATTTGTCTTTGCAAGCATTGGGTACAACTACCAATGGAGTTTTTTAAGTGACTATTTTTACTATTCCTAGAATTGGCACTGTGTATTGTGTACGTTAGATTTAAGGAACACCACAGTAAATTATGGTAGTGCTTGATCAAACACATATAACCCTAGTTGCAAATTAAAAAGTGTTTGGGAATCTGAAGTTTTTTAAGTATCGGAATTTGGAATACTGTGGGTTTTAATTTAGATTATCAGATTCAGATTAGAAATTATAATCTAGCTGTCTGTGCAAAATGTCAAAAGTCAGAGAACTACAGAATCTTGAGAGTTACTGACCTAAAGTTCCAGGCCAGGGAGGGTAGAGGCTGACATTTCTCAGGTATTTTCTATCTCTTGTTTGAGCAAGATACTAGGATTTACAGGCATGAGCCACCAGAGCCAGTGTGGTGAATTTATTCATGATGTAATTAATTATCTCTTGTTTTGGAAAGGACCGTCTTTCTGCTAGACATAATGACAGTACTATAATTCTGGCACTAGGAAGGCAGAGACAAGAAGGATTGTGTTGGCAGTGTTGGCTATGGGGTGAAACCCTGTCTCAATACAACACTGGAAAGGGGGGAAGGATATATTTTGTACAATAAGAATAGATAAATTCATTTCTGTTTTCTGAGTATGGAACCTCAGGGCTTTGTACATGCTAGAAGAGTATACTGCTCATCTGTTCAGTAATATAACCCACCTTCTTGTTTGGTTTTTGTGTGTATATGTGTGCCTATACACAAGTGCCTCTGAGTACCTGAAGGATCAGAGTCAGCCTCAGGTATCTTCCTCAGTCACTCTTTCTTTCTTTCTTTTTTTTTTTTTTTTTTGAAACAAAGTCTCTCACTGACTGGAGCTGGAGCTCACAAATCCAGCTAGGCCGACAGGCCAGTAAGCCCTTAGCATCAGGAGCCCAACACCATGCCCAGCTTTTGCCTGGGTGCTAGGGATCAGAACTCAGATCCTCATATTTGCATAGCCAGCCATGAGCCATTAACCCAGTTTGTTTCTGTTCCTATATATATAGTCTCAAATTCACTCTATCTGAGCTTGGCCTTGAAGTTCCTGTCCTCTTGCCTCTACCTCCCAAGTGGTGCTGGAATTGTATGCATTTACTCTCTACCACATCTAGTTTTCTTTTGTACTGAGAATCCAGGGCTTCATGCACTTTGCCAACTTAGCTATATCTTTTTTTTTTAATCTTATTTTGATTTTTGAGAATATCTAGTTATGGAGTACTAGTCTGACCTGGACTTGAAATTCTCCATCAGTCTTCCTAGTGCTGGGATTATAAGCATGTACTATTATGCCTGCTATACCATCCATTTAATTTTTTTTAAAGTTTCTGTATTTTTTTAAAGATATTTTCTCATTTTACATACCAATCCCAGTTTCTATTTCCTCCCCTCCTCCTACTCCCTCTACCTTCCTCCCCACTCCAACCCCCATCCATTCCTCAGAGAGAGTAAGGCTTCCCATGGAGAGTTAGCAAAGTCTAGCACATTGCTTTGAGGCAGGGCTAATGCCCTTTCCACTATATCTAGGCCGAGCAAGGTATTCATATAAAGAGAATGGGTTCCAAAAACCTGTATAAGCAGTAGGGATAAATCCTGGTCCCATTACCAGTGGCCCCCCAAACTGCCCAAGCCACACAACTGTCTCCTACATTCAGAGGGCCTGGTTTGGTCCTATGCAGGTTCCCCTGCTGTCGGGCTGGAGTTGCTGAACTACCAAAGTTCAAGTAAAGAGAGAGAGGAGCAATAATATGCATAAAGGGATCAATACCATGATGCAGATGCCTACTGAAATAGCTTAAGTGAGTTAATGGGAGTTCAGCAACTCCAGCCTGACAGCAGGGGAACCTGCTGTAGATCTCTGCATCTGTAAACAAAAATTTCTTTCCCTCCTGGTGCCACAAGTTCAGTCCCAAAGAAACACACAGAGGCTTATATTGATTATAAACTGTTTGGCTTATTAGCTCAGGCTTATTATTAACTAGGTTTCACAACTTAAAATTAGCCCATAATTCTTATCTATGATTAGTTACATGGCTTGCTATCTTTTCTCACTGCAGCATTTTCATCTTGCTTCCTCTGCGTCTAGGTGGCGACTCTAAACTGAGCCTTTCCTCTTCCTAGAATTCTCCTAGTCTGGTCACCCCATCTTTACTTCCTGCCTGGCTACTTGCCAATCATTCTTTTATTAAACCTATAAAAGTGACAAATCATTACAGGGTACAAGAGCATTATCCCATAGCATGTATCTGTTTCCATCAGCTGCTGGATGGAGGTTCTATGATGACATTTAAGATATTCATCAATCTGACTATAGGACACAGCCAGTTTGGTACCCTCTTCTCTATTGCTTAGGATTTTAGCTGGGGTCATCCTTGTGGATTCCTGGGAACTTCTCTAGTGCCAGGTTTCTTGCTAACCCCATAATGTCTCACTCAATCAAGATATCTTTTTCCTTGTTCTCCCTCTCTGTCCTTCCCCCATCTCTACTATCCCGTTTCCTCAACTAATCCTTCCCCTTTTCCTTTTTCCTTCCTCCTCCCCTTCTATCCTCCCTTCCTCCTCCATCCCCATGTCCCAATTTTCTCAGAAGATCTTGTCTGTTTCCCCTTTCCAGGGGGATCCATATATGTTTTTCATAGGGTTCTCCTTGTTACCGAGCTTCTCTGGGGTTAAGGACTGTAGGCTGGTTATCCTTTGCTTTATGTCTAATATCCACTATAAGTGAGTACATACCATGCTCCTCTTTCTGGATCTGGGTTACTTCACTGAGGATGGTTTTTCTAGTTCCATCCATTTGCCTGCAAATTTCAAGATGTCATTGTTTTTCTTTTTTCTTTCTTTTTTTTTTTTTTAAAGGCACTGAGTAGTACTCCATTGTTTAAATGTGTATTACATTTTCTTCATCCATTCTTTGGTTGAGGGGCATCTAGGCTGTTCCCAGGTTCTGGCTATTACGAGTAATGCTGCTATGAACATAGTCGAGCAGATGTCCTTATAGTATGATTGAGCATCCTTTAGGTATATGCCCAAATGTGGTATTGCTGGATTGTGCGCTAGGTTGAGTCCCAATTTTCTGGGAAACCGCCATACTGTTTTCCAAAGTGGCTGTACAAGTTTGCCCTCCCACCAACAATGGATGAGTGTTCCCCTTACTCTGCATCCTCTCCAACATAAGCTATCATTGGTATTTTTGATCTTAGCCATTCTGACTGGTGTAAGGTAGTATCTCAGAGTCGTTTTCATTTGCATTTACCTGATAGCTAAGGATGTTGAACATTTTCTTAAGTATCTTTCGGCCATTTGAGATTCTTCTGTTAGAATTCTCTTAGATCCGTAGCCCATTTTTTAATTGGGTTATTTGGAATTTTGATGTCTATTTTCTTGAGTTCTCTATATATTTTGGAGATCAGTCCTGTGTGATGTAGGGTTGGTGAAAATTTTTTTCCATTCTGTAAGTTGCCTTTTCGTCTTTTTGATGTTGTCCTTTGCTTTACAGAAGCTTCTCAGATTCAGAACCTGAAATTCTCCGTTAGCCCCCCTAGTGCTGGGATTATAGGCATATAGTATTATGCCTGGCCTATCATCCACTTAAAGTTTTTTTTTTTTTATTACACTTATTTAATGTGTGCATGTGCGGGGATGTGAGTGGAGGTCAGAAAACAATTTGAGTTCAGCTTTGTCCTTCAACCTGGTGGATCAAATTCAGGCCAAGCTTTGTAGCAAGAATTTGGCCATCTTCCTTTTAAGTGATACTCAAGGAAGAAAATCTACTAATATTAGTAGGGTAACACATCAAATTCCTCTTTTGAGTTTTCTGTTTACATTTTCAGGTGAAGGGAAGTGGCTCCGGAATATTGACTATTACCGCTTGGATGGTTCTACTACTGCACAGTCAAGGAAAAAGTGGGCCGAGGAATTTAATGATGAAACCAATGTGAGGTATGGTGCTTGTTCTAATTGTATAGATATTTTAAATGTAATTTCAGTAAAATTATATTTTTAATATATCCTGTCATTTTTAACATGATGAAATTAAGGCCTAAACCAGGTCAATCACACTCTTCATTCCAAAAATTTGTTTATGGAATCCTATACATTGTAGCAATACAAGTCTCACTTCATTTACTTACTGAAATGTATTTATTTGTGCCAGACATGGTAGCACATACTTTAATTCCAGCATTTGGGAGACAGAAACAGGTAAATCTTTGTAGGTTCAATGCCAGCCTCATCTATGTAGCAATTTGCAAGGCAGCGAGGCCAACATTGTAAGATTTTGTCTCAAAAATCTATTTGTGATTTTATGCTTATTTCCTGATTATTTTTAAATTCTAGGTCATCATAGGGATTGTATATAGTGTGTGTAGCCTTGCCTTCTCAGGGACATTGAATTCTTCCCAGGTTTTGGAATTAAAGCTATTATGAATGTCCCTGTATAAGTTTTTCCTCAATGCTATTTCCGTATGTGTGATGCAATCTAAGGATTGTAATTTCTGTTTTTTTTTTGTGATAATTTTTTTTTTTAAGACAGCATTTCTCTGCCTACAGTCTTAGCTGTCCTGGAACTAGCTCTCAAGACCAGGCTGTCCTGGAACTCACAGAGACCCACCTGCTTCTGCCTCCTGAGTGTTGGGATTAAAGGAGTGCACCATCATTGCCTGGCTAATTTTATCTTTATCTATGAGATTGTCAGTGTTCCACAGTGACTTTATGGTTTGTACTTTTAACAATGTATATGACACTGCGATTCTACATTCTCCTCGCAACTTAGTATTTTCATGTTTTACAAAATCTAGTTTGTTCATTCATTCATTCATTCATTCATTCATGTTCTCCAAAGGTGGTGCACTGTTCCTGGAGGAACTGCAATATTTGGTAGATGCATGGAGTGGTCATAAACTATTCCTATTCTATCTCTTAGCTCCAAAAATCCATATAACATGCTCTCTTTTGTTAGAGGATACATTGGATATTAAACTGATAACAGACACTATACTTGATTTTTGCCAAAAGGCTGAGAAACAATTCTGCAGTGATTTTTATTTTGCTTTTCTTCAATCATAAATGATGCAGAACTAATTTTAATATGTATATTGATAACTTTTTTATTTAAGCCAATTTTATTTATTTTCCATTCATTCATTCATTTATTTATTTAATTTTTCCATTAAAAAATTTCCACAGGGAACCTTGCCCTGTGGGAAGTCCAAGACCCCCCCCCCCCTACACACAACCCTATATCCAGGCCTAGGAAGCTGTGCATCCAAATAGACTAGGGTCCCAAAAAGCCAGTACATGCAGTAGAAACAAGTCCTAGTGCCTTTATCAGTGGCTTCTCAGTCTGCCCCAATTTTTTTTTTCTTTGGCTTCACCTTGTTATTTAAGTCAATTTTATACATACTATATTTTGATCATATTCTATCCCCTCCTTCAACCCCTCTTAATCTTTAAGTCATCTTTAATTATAAATTATTGTAGGTTTTAATATTAATAATATAACTATAATTAATATAATAGTACAATTGGTTTTTTGTGGGAAGTTGATTTTTCTTATTAAAGTATATGGTATATGTGTACTTTTGTAATATTAAAGTCATAATAACTAAGCATTTATTTTATATTTTCATTTTTAGAGGGCGATTGTTTATCATTTCCACCAAAGCAGGGTCTCTTGGAATTAACCTGGTAGCTGCTAATAGAGTGATTATATTTGATGCTTCTTGGAATCCATCTTATGACATCCAGAGTATATTCAGAGTTTATCGCTTTGGACAAACTAAGCCTGTTTATGTGTATAGGTTCTTAGCTCAGGTAGGTTTGTCATTTGCATTCTTTTTATACTAAGAAGTTGATGATAATAATCTAGAGGTGCAGAACATATACAGATGAAACTGATAATACTTTAGACATGCCCAGCATAGGTCTCTTAGAAAGAGACATACTTGAAAATATTCTATAAATAAAACTGATATCAAGTTAGGTCAGACAGAAGCCAGACGTGGTGTTGCACAGCTGTGGTCCCAGCACATAGGACCTGTAGGTAGGATGATGGCGCTTTCAATGACAATCTTGGTTACATAGTGAGACCTCTGTTTAAAAACAAAATCAACTCCCCTCAGAATTCAGATTTAATAAAATTCATTAAAATTCAAGAAATGGATGCATTTCAAGGTCATTTGTGTTTGTAGAGTCAAGGTGCCCTTTTAACTGATACATCTCTTTCAGGAGCAGGTAGGACATATACTCTCCACCTGAACCCAAATCTGGGCTTCTCTCAGTTACAGCCTGATATTTACTAGCAGATATTTACTTACTTGATCTTCTTTAGTGTGACATGTGTACAGCTTCTTTGTATCTTAGTTTATAAGTAATGTATATGTCAGTATATTAGTTTATCTTGAATTTTAGGAAGCCATATTTGAACTATAAGACGTTTTGCGTATTGTTAGCCTATTATATATCACATTAAAAATCTGGTTTCTTGTATTCTAATTTCAGTACCCATCTAAATTCTTATTTCTTGTGCATTCTAGTTTTGTTTATCCTGATATCTGCCTGCTCTTTGACTTTCACAAAGTATAGAATTATCTCAAAGCAGGCCACAAATCTATTTTGGTCAGATAATTTAGAATAATTCTTCATAGTCAAATTTTATTAGCTTGATGACAAATTAAGACGGTAAGTTTCCTAGAATAGATGAATTCGGTCATGAATGGACTAACATTGTTAGGGATTTTTTTGTGGCAACATGTGACCTTGAAATTTTAGCATTTCTTATTAACCTGTAACTAGATTTATGCATAAGTTTTATGTTGACCAATTTTTTATCTGTGTATTGTTTCTTTTTTTTTTGTTTCTTTGTTTTTTAAACAAAGGGAACCATGGAAGATAAGATTTATGATCGACAGGTAACAAAGCAGTCACTGTCTTTTCGAGTTGTTGATCAACAGCAGGTTGAACGTCATTTTACCATGAATGAGCTTACTGAACTTTATACTTTTGAGCCAGACCTATTAGATGACCCCAATTCAGAAAAGAAGAAGAAAAGGGACACCCCCATGCTGCCAAAGGTATGTCTTTTCGGATTATTAGGTTAAATAACAAATCAAATGCCAACAGGGATATTGTACTACTACAATGAAGATGAGATTCTGATTAAGGCTGTGTGTACTTCATATATTTTCAGAGACTAAATTGATATTTAACAAACTTTAGTCTATATGATTATAAGTGAAAGAATGCTTAATTACTTATCAATACAACACCACAAAGAAGATAATATTTCTGAAAACCATAAACGTTATTTATGCCAAATAACATTTCCACCACCCAGAAAGAAATCTAATCAGAAATCTGAGTGGAAATCATTAAGACTGTGTTTTCCTAAGCTTTAAATTGAAGGCATGTATATATGACTAATCTACTAGTAAGTTAGTTGTCTGTTCTTTAACCTTTTTTTTCTCTCATAGAGCAATTAAGAATCAGCAAATAGGTGTATGAAAATTTTCCCATCATCACTACTTGTTAGGGAGCTGCAAATCAGAAACATAATGAATGAGATTCTACCTCATATCTGTTAGGGTAGCTAAGAATCTGAGGAATAAGAAGTAGTCAGTATTGGTGAGAATGTGGATATAAAGGGAACCGTGTGCACTTTTGGTAAGCATGTAAATTATTGCACCCACAACTCAAAACAGTAAAGAGGTTCTTTGATTTTGTTGGGTTTTTTGAGACAGGGTTTCTTTGTGTAGCCCTGGCTGTCCTGGAATTCACTACATAGACCAGGCTAACCTCGAACTCACAAAGATCCACCTGCCTCTGCCTCCTGAGTGCTGGGATTAAGGTGGAGCGGATGTTCCTTAAAAAAATAAAATAAAATTACATATATAAAGCAAGTTCCATGACAGGCTCCAAAGCTACACTAAGAAACCCTGTCTCAAAAAAATCATTAACATTAAGAAAATTAGGAAAGCAGCTATCTGGGTGCCATATCAATACAACAGCGTAACTTCTGTCACTTATATTTTATTGTATTTATTAGTTCTTCATTTGGTTGTGCACATTCAAGTAAAGCAAATAGGGCTAGGAAGGAAATTCTTTTTTTTACAAGCAACAGTCTCTAATGAGTAAAGGTTATAAGGTTATAGCTAAAACTTGAAACTCGTTTTCATTATTGTGTTTGCTGTTCCACAGAGATGATTCAGGGCTAGCAATGTGTGACTAAATGAGATCAGGTAGGCCAAAACAGCAGACACTCAAGCCTGCATCCCCTTTTAGGTAGAGTCCCTTTGCTTTTATGTACTTTATTATAAGTTTAATACGTTTTTTATCTTGCCTTAAGTAACAAAATGAATATTCTGGGTTGTATATTAGAAATCTATACAGACATATAAAAGGACTACCCAGTTTGTTGGGAAAAGTTAGCGAGAGGACTTGCTTGAAGAAGGCTTGAAGAAATGTTGAAAATAGAAGTGCGTGGCTATGGCATTGCTGAGACCACAGGGAGGACAGGCAAAAGAAATGTGCATAAAATGGCACAAGTTTTGGGAGCCTCAAGAAATCAGATCATCGCACTGTAAGTTTACAGTGGCAGTACAGAAGTAGGCTTGCTTGGCAAGAGAAGAAGAAAAAAATGCTCCAAGGCAGAGGGGAATTGTGATCATAGTACTTAAGTTAGGAATCATATTATGGCTATGGAATCTATTAAATTTTAAACAGTACCTGGTTAAGAGAAGAGGCTAATACTGTTGAAGAATAGGGAGTAAAGCTAGAGGTATAGAAATCTCCCAAGATCAACTTCTTTTATGCTACTATAGCTACTCTAGCAAGGAAATCTCTATATGATGATCACATTGTGACTTTATGCTATGCGGCAGTTTTTTAAAAAATATTTATTTATTATGTATACAATAGTCTGTCTGCATGTATGCCTGCAGGCCAGAAGAGGGCACCAGACCTCATTACAGATGGTTGTGAGCCACCTTGTGGTTGCCGGGAATTGAACTCAGGACCTTTGGAAGAGCAGGCAATGCTCTTAACCGCTGAGCCATCTCTCCATCCCTATGCAGCAGTTTTAAATGCTTGGGACAGAATTGAAGAAGTAGGAAAGAAGATTGAATCATTTACTTAAGTCATACGGGGCCAAAAGAAACAAACCTTCATGGATTTCTTACAAAGACTGACATCAGTAATAAATAGAATGATACCAAAAGTCAGAAGGTAGACAAATAATGATTGAATCTCTGGCCTTTGAGACTGCTAATTCTCGGGCTGGAGAGTTGTCTCAGCCATTAAAGGCTAGTCTTACAACCAAAAATATGAGAGAATGCTAATTCTCAATGCAGAAGGATAATTAGGCCATTAAAGACAAGGTCAGCATCTTTGGAGTAATTGATCCTAGATACAATTAGTGTTGAATCCCATGACCATGATGATGTGGTAAGAGGTGATTTTTTTCAGAGGTTTGAAGAAAAATCGAAATGTCAGGTTTTGTTTCAATTGTGGCAAACAAGGTCACTTTAACAGGGATTGTAAACAGGGTCTTCCTAAAAACTTATTTTTTTTCCAAGCATAATCCATTCAGAACACCCCCTTTCTGTATTACGCAGAAACTGTGGCAAAGGCAGACATTGGACTAATGAATGTGGGTCAACTAGGGATTTTCAATATAATCCTTTGCTATCCAGAAACTCCGTTGAGGGTCTCTTTTCAGTACCCTATGCCAAATCTTGTTCAGTTCTTGCCTGCCATAATAGAGGAAACTCCTTTCCAGAGCAATAGTGAACCTGATGTCTATTGTAAGAAACCATACTGCTCTGGATAATAGAATAACTATAGAAAAGAGAACAAAAAAATTCAGGAAAGACCATAAAGCAAGTATTTTGACAAACTTCTATAAATGAACAAATACTAAAATTAAAAAGATCTGGTAGACATAGGTGTGAATGTAGCAATAATTTTATCAGAATCTTGGCATCCAAATTGTTTTTTATCAAGCAGCATGGTTGTTTTATCTAAACTGACCTA